GTGTGGAGAGGGCGGGGAGCGGGCGGAGGGGCCGTGGGGAGCGGGGCTGCCCGCGCGGGGCCGCCCCTGAGCGGTCATTGCACCCTCTGCTCGCAGGGACGCACCGATGTTCCCCGAGGAGCCATCACCGCCGAGTTCAGCGTCTGTCCCCGCTCCCGCAGCGACCTCTCTGCGGTTGGGGAGTTGGAGAGAACGGCCGGAGCTCCGTCCTTCCCCAGCAGGTTCCTGAAGCTGCGCAGCGATCAGGCCTCGGGGAGCCCGCGGGGCCGGAGAGCGGGGGGCGCGGGGCCCCCAGCAAAGGGCACCCCGGGCAGCGCCTCCCGCGCACGGTCGAGCTCAGCTCTGAGGAAAGTGGCACAACTCGAAAGCAAAATCATGAATCGGAAACAGCAGGTGGGATTGCAAAGCGCTGAGCTGGGCCGGAAGGTTTTGGATGAAGAGTCTTTCTCCTCTGCTTCTAGTCATGAACACAGTGGGAGGGGCAAGAAATACCTGAAGAGCTATGCTAGAAACAGCAGAAATGTGCCAGAGGAGGAGGAAAATACCCAAATCCCTAAAAAGAATGTTAAACAGCAGCTTGGTTTGGACAGTGATGAAGAGGAAATGAGAGAACAGATGGAGGGGTTTTCCAGTAGAAATGAGAACCCAAGGATTGCTGCAAGGGATTCTAAAGGGGGTGGAAAGGTAAATACAGACTTCACTGGATTATATCCTTTTATTTACACCTCTATGAAATAGTGCTAAACTGAAAGCTCTCCTTTTATTTAGACAACACCAGAAACTAAATCTTAATTTTGCATTTGTGGCTTGCTCATGATTTAAATTCAATTAACATTTTTCAAGTACTGTGTTTTACCCACTGTAAATTGTTTGCATGTTAGTGATTACACATACGAATTTAAGTAACACATCCCTCTCTTTTTTATGTTCTGCAAAAGAGTAAGACTGCAGTTTCCTCAGGAATACCTCCTCCATCTCATAAGAAAATGTCACCAACAGAGGCATTTAAAGCATCTTCTTTTCATAGCAAAGACTCAGAAAACAATATTTTTGGTGGAGTTAATTCACCAACACCTTCAGCAGCCAGCAGAGACCTGTCAGCACAAGGGACTGTGAGGTCTCAATCATCTGCCTCTTCCCTGAAAGACACTGTGAAGAACACTCTGCCTAAAACAGGCTACATCAAGCAAAGCCAAATATCACCTGGAAGTGACAAAAGTGACATCAAGTCATTAGATGAATTGTTCTTAGATGCAGATGATGCAGAAGATTCAACTACCAGCAGCTCTAATGGTGAGTTAGTTCTAAAGCACTCCCTCAGTAGACTTGCCATGAATGATACTAATAATCTACTGATAAATTTACTAATAAACAGGAGCAAATACTCACTTTGAAAGGATTCAGTTACTCTTTCATATTCCACTTTAAACCAGGAATGCAGTTCTGATTTGTTCTCCCCTACTTTTCTTGCTTATGGGAAAGGGTCCTGGCATTTTTCATGCAAATTCTGATGATGTTTTGTCATTTGCTTGCAGACTTCAGACTGAACATACTGAGCCTTGATGATTTGGCACCAGAAACCACCAGTGAGGCAGCAGAATTAAAGCAGGAAGTAAGTAAAGATTCCTTCCTAGCCTTCCATTTTACCTTTGGTGGAGGGTGGATACTTTAATATTTCAGTCCTACTCCCAGGCTGGCTGAGCTGGGCTGGTCTCAGGAGATAAAAGGGTTAGATCAGGGGTTTACAATCTACTGAAACCTGACCAAATTTTTATTTTGTACTGTCTGCATTTCCTTACTAAATCAGCACTGCACAGTTTGCAGGGTGACACAGAAGAGCAACATTTTTATTTCCTAATAAACTAGTAGCTTTATTAGCTACTACCCCCGCAACAGGCAGCAAAGCAGATGAAGAATAGAGGAGGAATATTTTAGGTTATGTTTTGTTGATGCTCCTACCATCCAGCTGTTTTGTTTTACAGGGGACAGACATTCAAATCACTCAAGAATCCAACAGAAATCCAGAAAAAGATGCATTCCTGGTGGTAAAGGACCCAATTTCTCTAAAAATGACAAGTGCAGGAACTGGTGTGGATGACTCTTCTGAAGAGGAGATTGAAAAAACTGGGACTGAAGCTGAAATCTCTGAGCATTTAAGTGAATTTTCTGCAGATTTCCCTAGACACAAAGAGGATTCTCTTGATCGTGATGAGAGAACTGTTAACTCAGAATATTCTGATGACTTTGAAAGGTCTCTGTCTACAACAGACAGCAAAGCTGGATGCAAAATGTCAGAGGAACACTCTGAGAGCTGCACCTATTCTGAAAAACATCCCCCTTCAACATCATCACTTTTATTTACCAGAGAGCAGCATGACCAGGTACACAGAGTAACTGTCAAGGAAACTGCAGTTCAGACAGTGGATCTTCCATTCAGCTACTGCTGGTCACAGGGTAAGTTCACAGGATAATTGCCCTATTCAGGCAATTTTTATATGTTTTTATATTGTATATGCTAGCCTAGTCAGCATAAATCAAGTTCCTAGTCTCAGTACTAGCTTCCTCTAGCTGATATTAAAAAATTTCCAAAACCCAACACTTCATTCTGCTGTCTGTAGAACAGTTTGGGGTTGGACAGCAGAAGAAGAACTTGGAACTATTTTTGGTTTTTGCTTAAAAAACCCCAACAAAACCCAACAGGGACTGTGGCTGGATGGGCTGGTGTTGGTGGCAGAGCTTTCAAAAGCCTGAGTAATACTCTCAGATGGAATTCAACATTTTTATGGTATCTTTACTCTTGTAAATGATACTTTTGTAACCAAAGTGACCACCCACTGTATTGTATTTATTTCTTGGAAAGCACTAGGGCTGCATTTACAAGAGCCAGAGGTGACCTTTAATTGCTTGTGAAGGGTGGCCCCTTTCCTACCTCTTGCTACTTAAAGGAAAAAAAGTGGTAAGAGCCCCTTTTGCCACACTCAAGGAGGAGAAAATAGAACCTCAGGTGTCCCTGAAAACAGCAGCTTCCTTCAAGCACAAAAGCCTTTGTTTTTACCCTGTCTGGGGTTAGAAAAGATGCCTCCCCCATGGCCTGTGCTGTGAACATGGAGGTCATGGGACTATGGTGGCATTTCTGTGGCTGAAAGAACTCCCTGTAGGGCCCTAGAGCAGCTCTACAGCAACTGGTGTCCCAAGAGATGGCTGAAGATGAGCTGAGTTCCAGCACTAACCCTTCCACCCTCCAGCCTCTCACTCTCCCTCTGCCCTGTTCACAGCAACCGCCACTGCAGCGCTTGACCCCCCTGTAGGGAACAGCTACGTCGATCCAGTACCTGTTGCCAGTCATGTCATCAGCATGGATGCAGTAGAAGGTACTGAAAAACATGTTTCTTACTGTTGTTTTACTCTATTTTATGCACCTAACCCCTGCCTGGGTTGTTTACCTCTCACGCTCTGACACTGAAGAGCCTGCTCCCGGTTTCTTGCAGCCCTGACAGCGTACAACCCCGCCGCTCTTGTTTTAAACTCCATGTTGAAGCAGCACTTGATGTTGACTCAGCAGTTCATGGAGAACATTCACCACCTTCACTTCTCCCTTGTGGAGTCACTGGAGAAGGAGCAGTTCCACTACCACACCCTGGAAGAGGCTAAAGAGGTATTGATAACAGACTAAACAACAACTGGGAGACAGGAACTGTATATTCCTTTCCAAACGCTTCTAGGATTTGCAGCAAACACATTTTCTTTGTGTATTATTCTCTAATCAGATAAAGCTTATTTTATTATTGAATAAATTACTTCATAGAAGACTACTATACTGCTTGTGCCCATATTAATAACATATCAGGAGTTTATACAGTAAAAAAAGACTAAAGTCTTAATGGAAGCCACAGGTTTGAAAGAATAAGCTTTGAGCTGTGCCCTCAGCTGGCCTCAAATGGTTAAGTATCTTCCTAAGCTGCAACAGAAGTAGCAGTTTCTGTTGCTAGTATAGAAAGGAAAGGTATTTTGACATGAAGATCTATTTGTTTATTAAATACTGTATTTATCTACAAAATAAAGAAATGTGTAATTTTTTTTTTTGCAGTACATCAAGAAGCACAAATCCCCACCTCTAACACTTGAGCAGGCACGTGAAAAAATCCAGAAAGCACAGGAGGAAAAACTGCTTTGACTCTTTACATCTACAGATATCCCCTGAAACAAGAAACCCTTCCAGATTGTACAGATAAGTTATTAATGATGGCCTGGAAGGATCTCTACTAACTCCTTTTATACATAATTTATTTTCTTATATCTGAATTTTTTACTAATGTGTATGACATAGGGATAGGCAGGAGCCTTTGGCCAGACTACCTCAGTGTTCAGCAAAAAAGAAACCAGGAAAACACTTCTCCCTAAAGGGAGTGTGATAAGTCATCACAGTTTGCATGTTTACCATGTAGATCATGTGATCTGTGATCATGGTAGAAGTTAAAATGTGTCCCACAGCACCTGAGGAAGATGATGACAGTGGGACAAATGTAGTGCCATATTGAACAGTGATTATCTAGAATGAACTTCTCCAGGTTACTGCAAAACCAAGGACATGCAAAATGAAGATGAATTCAGTACAAAGGCCTATAGCCACCATACTGTAAGCTGTTTACTCTGAAATATGACCCACCATTTTCTTTTTATTAAAAAAAAAGTGTTTATTGGAAGGCAAAACAATAAAATTCACCAATTGAGAACACAGAGGTGTTGTATGCTGATTCACAGACAGTTACAGTTCCACAACTACAGTAGATCTAGAACAAACTGATATTTCACCATATTAACTGAATGGTTTCACGAGGGTTCCTGCTATACAAACAAAGGGCTGTGGAAGAGGTGACCACCACACAGACCTCTGGAGTGGAAGTGCAGTGTCAAGGCCTAACAGCTCCAGCTGGTGGTCTCTGGAAACAGTTACAAAAGGTATTTTTGTTGGGTTTTGGGTTGTTTTTTTCCCTCATTTAGATTCAAGGAAGTTTCCACAAACGTTTCATTGTTAGAAACTTGCAGAGCGGAGAGAATCAATTCTCTTCTAATTCAACTAATTAGCTTTTATTAAAGGGTATATACAAAAATATAAAAAGCTTAAAGAATGTCTCCCATTACAAAGCATTGAACATCCCTCAGAGCGCTCCAAAAGCTACAAGAGTGAACCCTCGTGTTCTGACCAGAGTTGTGACTGCAGCAGCTGGTGTGTAGGGGTGTTAAGTTGTATGTAGGTTCTAACAAGCTTGCACAGTGCTCATAGGTCACCTGTACTGGAACTAGATGCTTCATTCCCCATTTAGACATTAGGATACACTGCTCAGCATCAGTCTGACTTGATCCCAAGGCAGCACCCCTCCACTTCAAATAGAATTAACCTTTTGAGAGAAATAAACATACATTATGGAACTAGAGAACATAGAACCACATCAGATAACGTCTGTATTCCACAGGAATGAATGAATCACAAACCTACACCAGGGATAGCTTGACTGGGGGTTCATTCTAGTATAAAATGGGTAACTAATTAAAAAATTTTGCAAAATAAATGGAAATTCTTAAACTTGCTAGACATGTCAGAGTTAGGAGTGGCCTTTTTTTTGTTAAACACTAAATGACAAGTGTTGAAGTACATGTCATAGCTTTCCATTTTCCACCAGAGTTTAAAAAGTGAATTCTTTTGTCACTTCCTCCAGACTTTAATCCGGATTTTTACAAGTTTAATGTTTTGTAGGAGATGCAAAGACATCTTTCTTCAGAGAGTCTTATTCGGGTGGTGGAGGGTCTTGCGTTTCACGCTTCACTGAAACAATAGGGAAAAGAGTTCTTACACATTCTGCAGTTACCTAAGCTGGCTGAAATGTTTCATGGAACAAGGGCTCTGTTAATCAGGATTTTTCTCCTTCTGGGCTTTATTTGAACCCCTTTGGTTACACAGATCTAGTGCAGCCATAGGCAGAAGTGACTTGTGATTTAGCATGCCCAGTTTGTTTTTTCCCTGCAGTCACTGGGCAGTGCAGTTGTACATAACACAGACTCTCTGCAAAAAAATGGATCATTTGGGTAATTGTCTTCATCTCATAAGTATCTCCTCCACTTTTTGAGAACCCTTCCTGCACTACAGTGAATTTATTACCAGTTCTGGCTTTGGCAAAACACAGCCCTAACTGTGGGAAACTCAGAGTTGGGCAGGGCAGGGCTGGACAGTACCCGTGGTTCAGCTTCACTCCAACCACCAAGACCTCCCTGCTCTGGCAGCCAAGCCCTCCTGTGGCATGGCTCCCTCTGCTACCTTTGCTACTCCTCTTTTTTTTTTTGAAGGGTTACATTCCAAGATGCAGGCTCTTGGTATTCCAGCCAGGAAGTGGCTTACACAGAACAGGCTCATTAATGTTTCACAAACAAGAACACAACACAAGCCCTGAAAAGACGCAGATAACCAGAGTATGTGTCTACTTACCTGTTGCTTTACTGTACCTACGACATTAGAAATAATTAAGTTATGAGTCTTTTGTGTTTACAGTCTACAGTCAATAGGACAAAATCACTATCAACTCTGCAGTTTTTAAACTTGCTTAGAAACAGTCACTTACATTCATCTCTGGCCTTCATGCGTGCGATGAACGAGTAACTTTTATTCCTTCGGTAGTTTTCATAAGGGTCATCTAAGGCAACTCCCACTCCTTTGTATTGATCCCATTTGTCTCGGATATCCCCTCCTTTAATTGGATCCTGAATTCCTTGTTCCTTAGCTCCCAGTCCACCAGATCCACTCCAGCCTGCAGACAGGGCACAACACTGCAATCTTGTAGCTAATTTTTTTTTTTTAATTCCTAGAATTCTGAAGACAAATGTTGACATTTTAAAACAACAAAAGAAAGTATCAAGTTTGATACAGCAGGATAGTAACAGGCAGCCTGAAACAACATCTGAACTGTCCCATTTACTTCAAAAACATTAATACACAGAGACTGTGGGAGCTGACACACATCAGCAGTAGCCCTGAAAGTGTTTAAAAGGGCAAAGGGAATGACAGCACAAACCCAACCTGTCCTGTCAACCTTCCTGATCTACACCACAGGGAGATGAAACACCTTGGGGAGCCAAGTTCTGTTTTGATGCCAAACTCACATGTCTTCCAGATCCTTCCCAGAAAGGCAACCACTACCACCATGTTCTATATCTATCTTTGAATATCCTTAAGCTGCCCTTGGAATACCAAGGGATAATTACTTGTAAGCATGCAATAATTAATTGTATGCAAGAGCTGGGTGCCTGATGTTGTTTCCTGGCTTGTGCAAGATTCCAGAACTGCACCTTACCCATTTTCACTAGCATTTGATGGCCTTTATTTTCTTCTCCAAGTCTTGACTCTGGTATAGGAGGCCCGGAACTGGAGCCCAAACCAGCAGAAGAACTAAGGGAATAAAAAGTACAACTTAAGAACAAACTAAGGTCACTGACATTCTGTTAATCATTTACATCCACTCTACTAAGCTATTCTTTTATAAAGCTATGGATTATGGAGTTATAAAGGTGCCAGAAACACCCTGTCTGTATGGGAAATGAAACACTACAGGCTTCCTAAGACAAACTGGAGATTCCTCCTGCTTCCCAGGAAGGCACGTGAGGCCTTCACAGCTGAAAGTTTTGTTACAACAAAAAGCCAGGTAATACTCTCTCTATATTCTCTCTATAAGTATGTAAGTTGGTACTTTTCACAGAATCACAGAACCATCAAGGTTGGAAAAGACCTTCAAGATCATCAAGTCCAACCATCAGCCCTACAACCCCCAACCACTAAACCATCTCCCAAAAGATGGCCCCTCCACCACCTCCCTGGGCAGCCTGTTCCAAACCACCAGGTAAAAAAGAGAAACAAGGAGAAGCTCACGGAGGGGTGGGGCTGCGAGAGCGGGAGCGGCGCCGCCTGCCAGGGGAGTAGGATTTGGATCTCGACCGTGACCGCGATCGGGAGCGGCTGTGAGAGGAGCGGGACCTGCTCCGGCTCCTGCAGGGAGAGCACAAGGGATCAGAGCTGCATCCGGGCTTCCTCCTTCATTTCCACCACCCTCAGGTCCCAAAGTCCTGCCCTACCTGGACTGAGAGCGGGAGTAGGATCGTGAGCGGGAGCAGGAGCGGGAGCGGGACCTGGAGTAGGAGCCGGATGATTTTGAAGATCGGGAATTGGAGCGGGAGGAGGATCGACCTCGGCTCTTGGAGCGGCTGCGGGAGCGGGAGGGGCCACTGCACAGGGAAAAGCAGAGACAGCCCAGTGAGACTCCTGGGAGAAGCAGGAGAAACGCAAATATACTCCTGACCAAATCCAGATGACACACAAGCGCCGTATTTCTGCAGCGTGAAATACCTGAGTGTGGAAACCCCCTATTTTCTGCAGACAAGACAGAAATTCCAGTAAGTTATTCCATCAGCGTGTTGCTGAACAGACCTCCCCTTGGCATTTAGCCCCATCCAACAGATCAGAAAGCACCAGCAGGCAGGATCTCTCACCTGTTTCTCTTCTCCTGACCTTTCCTCCGCCTCGCTCTCATTTTAGCTCTGAAGAACTCGTACAGTCCATTCTGCTCCCAGCCCTCACTGCAATGAACCAGCCACAGAGAACAGACAGCTATCAAATCCTGCTTTGATCAAGGGAGACTATCAGGATTGCTGCTAGATTTTGCAGGGAACAAAAGGCCTGGGGAAAAGTCTCACAAATCTCAAGTGTACAATCAAGCAGCAGTTGCAAAATGCAACACAGTCACTCCACAATTAGAAGAACACAGGTAGAGGAAGAGGAAGACACTTTGTGGTTTGAGACAGCTTCTTAGGGCATGTTCCTTATCACATAGTTAGCTATACCTACTTGTCCTGCTTTGAGACACTACTCTTACCTGTTTCTTGGCCTGTCATGAGATGGTGGGCTATAAAATGCCTCAACTGCAGCCAGCAGCCTCTCACTGGGGGGCATTGGGGGTGGAAGACGAATATCTTTAGGATCTAAAGGTTTATACTCATGATCTTCAAGCTGCCAGAAACAAAACAAATTACATTTTTGTCATGGGGTGGCAACCTGAAGAGAGAAATACAGATTGAACTGTGCAGGGACCATTTCATAGAACCATGGAATGGTTTGGGTTGAAAAAGACCTTA